CCCCAAAACCCCAAAACCCCAAAACCCCAAAACCCCAAAATTTTAACCCAAAATCGAAATTTTTCAAAAATGGCTGGATTCCTGAGCAGGGCTGTAAAATGGTCATCTAGTAAGATCAAAAACCAGAATTTGTTCAAGGAGAACATTACCCTCACCCACAAGAGCAGTGGCTCCATAATCTCTGTCTTCGCAGGCTGTGTTTCAATCGCCATGATAGGGTTCTTGCTGGTCATCGGAGGCATCCTTACTTTGAGGATGGCTAGAAGGACTGAGAAGCAGTGGAACCAGAATGTGTTATATACAAATCTAGCAAGTGATACAACTCAGGTTACTTCTACTAGTTTTGATGGACTAGCTGTGAGAGTTTCAATACAGACACTCGTGCCTGAATATTTACCGGATAGAGTAAGTCGTTAGGTGAGCTTTTTAGTTTGAAGATTTCTTTGATGTTAAAAACCAACAAAACCTCTCTTGAGTACAAAAACTGCAGCCAATACGACTTCAAGTACCTTCCTACATCTCCCTCTCTCTCTAAAATCACCAAATCAGGTAAATCATTCCACCTCTGCTTCAACATCACCAACATCGCCTTCTCCGGAAATCTGGAGAACTTCGACTCATTAAAGTACGCAGCTGTTGACCTGAAGCTGAAATCTAGTCTGAAGACCAAGCTGAAAGAGGGCTATTTTACAGTCAACTTTGACGTCCAGCATAAGTATGTTGACTTGGATGATCTGGATAATCCATTCAAATACTATTACCGCTCGTATGGAATTGGAGGATCAGAGCTCGAGGAGTTTTCTGGGTATAATGGGTATAGGTATGACCTCAATAGGAATGAAATTGAGCTACAAGATACTTGGTGGGATTTCCTGACAAATCCTGAACCTCATAAGCTTTTGAACATCAACTCTGATCATACGTACTCTCATGATGAACAAGCTACAACTCAGTATACCGTGTTTTTCATACTTGGTGATCAAACTTATCAATACGGAAGAAAAGTGCTCAACTTTCTTGAAGTTACTGGAATCGTTGGGGGTCTCTTCGAGATCCTTGACATTTTTATTGGAATCTTCATTGGCTACATTTATAATTACAATTTAAAAAGAGAAATTAGAAGAGACCTAACCAAATCTGAGGAAAAGATTCAGGAGCTAGAGGCAAACATGAAGGAAATTTTGCGTAATACAGAAGATAATAATGAACAATTCAACAGGAATGGTCCTTCTGCTGACTTACAAACACTCAGGAATAACTTGCACAACCATCCAGATGCAAATGAGGAGTCTAAAGGGATTTATCAGAGTCAGCAAGACATCCAAACTATTCAAGAAAACTCTAATTTTCTGAATGGACTAGCTCAGATCTCTGAAAATCCTTTCAGAAGTGTTTATATGAACGCTGTTGAAGGGATCAATAGTCAAAGCCAAGAAGCTCAAAAATAAGGAAAAGAGACTTAAAAACTTTATGAAACTTAACATCGGAAGTCAATATGAGTTGCTAAAGCCTAAAAAGATCAATGTTGATAAGTTCTTAAAAGGTACCTTCTGCTCACTAAAATATAGAGAAGTTAGGTAATTTTTGGTTTAAATTGACCCTCTGTAGATTGTGTGAACCTGATCTCTTCTATCAGGACTCTTGAGCTTAAAGTTAAGTACCTTCTGACAAGAGATCAAGACCTTTCCTTGCCTTCTGTGCCTGATCCTAGTGCCAAAGTTGCTTCAATGGAAAGGCAAGGGATCAAACAACCAGGGCTGTACCAGCGGATTCATAAGATTATTAGCCCTGAGAAGTTGAACCTTATTCAAGGTAGGAGAAATAATTATAGGGTTACTTAAATCAACTGGAGATTACTGTCAAGGGGTTTTGGGGTTTTGGGGTTTTGGGG